CAGGGGAGCAAACAAAGTTTAGGAAATAATGTCAGATTCGTAGGATAGCATCGGAAATATAAAATAATCTTCTGGAGTAAATTCAAATTTAATTTTTATGTTTAGGAGCTTCAAACTCAAAAACTGCAATGCGTCGTTGCTGCTCGTCATACATCTTTTTTTTTTTTTTGTAATATAATAAAGTTGTAAACTGGCATATGAAGCCCATCAAGCGATAAAAAAAAAAAAAAAAAAAGCCCGTAAAGAGATTGATTATAATAAAAAAGTTAAATAAAAACTATTACCTTGTTAGACGGCAACTCTTTTGCATTCTCTTGAAAAAAAAAATAAAAAAAAAAATAAAAAAAAATCCTTCGTACTTTTTGTTACTGGTCACAAAGACTCACAATGGTATGATGATGATCATGATCACAAATTTAAATTTTCTGAAGTTCTCCTTCCGGCTAATCGGCAAAGAGAAAGTCATGAAGAAATAAAACAACCTTTTTTGAAGTTTTATGTCATAAAGAAAACGCACAAATTAATTTATTCATATTATTAATTTATTATTGCTTCAGTCACATTTACCGAAATTCTTTCGAGATATTTTATTATACAAAGGAAAAACAAGTCTGAACTCCAATCCACAAAACCCATATCAAAGCTTATTTCTTTTTCTTTTTTTGGTCTCAAATCAATGAAAAGCTGGGAAGCTGTGAACCTATCAAAAAGCTTATTCAAAGGAGCAGTCAGACTATACTTTTTTATTCTGAGTAAACAAATTTACTACAAAATACTAAATTATAGTAAAAATAGTAACAGCGGAACTTTTGAGGATATGTATCTGAAGGCATACTCACATTAGGATTTTCTTTTTCTTTTATTTTGGAAGTAATTGAGGTCAGATACATCCAGGAACATCCAGGACTGCCCATAAATGTGGTCAGATACATTTAAGATAATGCTAGCATGTGGACGCTTTGAGTGCAACAGATACCTTTCTCTGCCTTTTGGATAAGATCAATTGTAGTACTTGTTCTTTTTGGTATTTTCTTCTTTTTTATTTTTTGGAGAAAACAGTCAGGTGTCTGTCCACCCTCCGCAGTTCTCTCTGGACTGTACAGAGCCCACCGTTCAGAAAGACTCCACTCCAGGATATTCAAGGGGAGCAGCATGTGCTCAGATGGGCCCGGTGTCCCAAGATACATCATCAAATAGTCATTGACAAACAGTGAGGGACAGGGGAAAAGAAGAAACCAGTACAGCTGCAAGGAATATGAGCGAGAGAGCGATAGACAGAAAACCAAGTTGCAAAATCACGAAGTAGTCCAGATAGTCGTTGTACCAAGCAGAGAGTTCAAATGCACCAAGATACCATCCAACTAAGAGCAATAGAAAGGACTCCAGTGCTAATGCCAATGCTCTCTGGTCAAACCAACACTGTATCCAATGTCGCCCCTACGGTCTGGCGCTCAGCGCCCAGCCTACTCTACTCTGCCTAACTAGCGCGACTTCCATACAGGGAGATCGCTGGCCAGAGGGAGGGGGTTACCATACCCAGGCTTGCGGACACGCTGCTGCCTTGCTGTGCAGGTATCTGCATGTGCGCTGCTTGCTGGGGTGCACACAGGCGCTATGAGGTGAGAGGGGCGCTGCAGGGCAGCGGGCGCGCGGCAGCCATAGCCGGCCTGCAGGGGCGCAATGGGGGTGATGGGCAAAGGAGGTCTTCCTTCGGGAACTAGGAGATGTCAACACCAATGCCGACCACCAGCATACACCAGGTACGATCTCTCTCCTCCCCTCGTCAGATCTTGACCACCCACATATGCGCCTCCTACCCGAAGGAAGACCTCCTTTGCCCATCACCCGCATTGCGCCCCTGCAGCCCGGCTATGGCTGCCGCGCACCCGCTGCCCTGCAGCGCCCCTCTCACCTCATAGCGCCCGTGTGCGCCCCAGCAAGCAGCGCACATGCAGATACCTGCACAGCAAGGCAGCAGCGTGTCCGCATTGCCTGGGTAGGGTAACCCCCTCCCTCTGGCCAGCGATCTCCCTATATGATGGAAGTCACAGCCTCTATTTGGCTGCGAGGGCCTGACTGAGGACGCTCCCAGTAGCTTCCAGTCGGGCCCCAGTGTCTGCGTCCAGGCCCTGTACAACAGTTAAGGGCCTGGGCCCTTTCTGGTTGGGCACGTCCAGGCAGCCCCCGGGCTCACAAGTGTTCGCCGTCTTCTCATTGGCTCGCCGGGCCTCTGTGACGACGATGCTGCATTCTGATTTGCCCGCGGCAACTTCGTGATGGGTCGGCCTCGCACTGCGTGTGACCAGGGCGCAACCACCCGGCCCTGGGCTCAACTGCTTGACGCAGCTGCTGTTTCTGGAAGAAGCCCAGGGAGAGGCTCACGTGCACTTCAACCAACCTGCGTGCTGCAACTGTCTGATACCCACATTGGAAAATGCTGAGATAAGAGCCTCTCGTGGATATTCAGGCCCGCCTTCACTTAGGACGGGCACGAGGCTTGCTGGGGGCCACAGCCCAGATCATGTGCATGTCGGCTAGGGCCCCGTGAGGACACATTCCTCACACAGCATTGATTATCCTCCAAATCCCCGGGGATTAACTGGCTGTGCTCAGAAGAAAATATGGCAAAAGACCTGCCCTGCAGCTGCCCCGACAATTTAATATCTCAACTCCAGGTCCTGCAGGAGTGAGACAAGGGATGTTTTTGTGCAAGGG